TTTCCCCCCCCCCAGCTCTCTGGTGCCCCCTGCTGATGGTCTTTGGTGAGCAGGGAGGCCCACAGGAGGCCTAAAGCTCCTCTGGGGTCAAAGGTCAGCTGCAAATATTTAGGAGTTTCTGCATTGGACACAAAAACCCGGTGTGCTTCTACCAATCCACGTTACTTTGACACGACATTGTCCTGATTAGAAATGTTTCCTGTACACAGCGGCTAAAAGCCTGACCGGGATTTTTTTGAAACACTTTTAACACCAGAATACGCAAAAAAAATCATTCTTTTAGAGAAAATAGATTTAAGAAGTCGTCATTTCTTCTTTAGTTCAATCAGAAAATTGATACCACTTAAGATTAAAAACACACTTGGAGCTAAAAAAACTGCCAAATGTTTAACCAGAAAAAAATCTGTTTAGAGCACTGTAGGCAAACTTTTGTCGGGATGTTTATTTGTAAAAAAAAAAATTAAAAAAAGGATGCATGACGAGGAAATGGTAAATAAATAACTCATTGTAGGCGAGGATCTATTCAGTATTTCAACATTTGCTGAATCCTGATTTCCATCTTGGCTAAAAAACGGACCAGATTTTTTTTTTAAACTAAAATCTCTCCACATTTTTACAGCAGTGCAGAAAAAAGTCAGAAATTGTGGGTTATTTGCCTCAAAATGACCTTTCCAAGCAAACGGAGGCTGTTTTTCTATTCCTTACATACATTATGCTAACAGCATGTAAGTGGTATCGACCTGCTGCTGAATATGTGGCTCATAAAGGAAACTAAACAGTCATTCAGACTTCATTTTTTATGCCTGTCAGTCAGACCTAAAGACCCATTTCTCCAGATGTAATTTAAGGTGGGAATTAAGTGTCAGATAATTTTGTTTTCAGGGACATGAAAACCTGACTAAAGGTTCCGGATGCTCCACAGAGAAAATACTGCCATTAAACACCGAGGGGATGAGACATCGAGGGGGACACACGGCTCTTTTGGGACTTTTTCCGGTTCCAAAAGTCGACAGATTCCA